TTTTTTTTTTTTTTTTTTTTTTTTTTTTTTTTTTTTTTTTTTTTTTTTTTTAGGAAAAGTAAAAAAAAAAAAAAACGCATTCCCAGCCCTCGCTGCGTGTGCTCTTTTATTTTTCGCCCCCCTTCCGCCCTCGTTTCCGGATTAATGAGACGGCGGTCGGTTCACACGAGTGTATGGTGTACATATACATATACGCGTGTTGTGCACGCCCGTGTGCGCTCGACAGTGCCGCGAAAGGGAGTCAAATACCAATTAAGACTGGCAAAAGAGGGAAAAAAAAAAAAAGAATTCTCTCGCCAATCGGTCGGGTCTAATTGGCGCACGGAATATAATTTCCCGAGTCACCCCTTTCACCTCTGCGTTCCAAAATAAAACTCCCAGAGCTTTTTCTCCCGAAAGCTGTAAAAAAACACCTGTGCGCGATGCATCAGCATCGGCGATCTTACTCTTGGGGAAAAAAAAAAAAAAAAAAAAACAAGCAAGGACCAGCTCGTAAAATCGATAGCCAACAATGAAAAGTAGCTTTCGTTTGCCCCGATGGAAGAAAAGCTTCGTGTCGAGGAGTGCCTCGCAAACGTAATTAAAAGGCAATCGGGAAGAGCTTCCGGCAGGAAATACGTATACAATTGGGCCCCGATGTATCCCTCGCCTCTGGCGATCGCGCGGGAGGAAATAACGCGAATGTACCTCACGCGTGAAGCAAACAGAAGAAACTTTATATAGGAATCTCGGTGTTTTACCTTGAGGTTTTGCTCGAGCCTCTCCTCGACGGGAGTGCACATCTTGACGGGCTCGACCCTCATGGTTGGCCTGGCGAGGCTGCCCGCGCCGCCAGCTCGAGCCGGCTGCGATGGTGAGCGCTGCCTCTGGCTCTCCTGCATCCGCGGATCAGCCGCGCACGGTAACAACAACAATTATCTACCGGACGAGGGCTCGACTTGGCCCGAGGCGTTCGCACCAACGGGAGTGGAATAAGGCCCGGTAAGCCAGCCGCTGCACATAATATCGACACCCCGTCCGGAGCGAGTGTCGCTAACATGCACGGGCTCTCGCCGGGCCGGCAGCACCGACGGACTTGGAATGAGCTCAGCCGCCCTGCATATGCCGATGCTTCTCCTCGCCGGCGTTGGCAGCGGTGGTAGACATGCCACGGTTACGTCCGTGTGTGAGCGTGTCTCTCCCGATGTGCGCGTGGCGGCTAGCTAGCCAGGCAGCGGGTCACGGGCAGGCGTCCTGCGCCTCCTCCTCCTCCTCCTCCTCCTCTTCGTACAGTGTGGCAAGTATATTGTGTTGTATATTTTATACAAGTACACCTATGCACACGCGCGAGCTGGGATGCTGCGAGAGGTGCGTGCCGCCACTCCAACTGAGCTCGAGAATAATGTATCCTCCTACTCCTCCTCCTCTCTCGTTTGATTTTCTTTTTCTTTTTTTTTTTCCTCTCTTATCGTGCCAGCTTGCACTTTGCCCCGGTGTGTTTGGAAAGCATACTGCCGCTCGGGGAGAGCCGTGAGGGCACGGCTGGCGCTCTCTTCTCTTCCTGCCTTCCGCTTCTGTGAGTTTGTCCTGCTTCCACCCGCGCTAGGACGTCTCCCCCACTTCACGCGACGACGCTCGCTCGCGCACCACACGACTGGTTCTACGAAAAAAGAAAGCGTGGCTTTCCATTACAAGTTTGTCTGAATAACAAAAAAAAAAAAAAAAAAGATTATCCGAAAAAAATTCACTTTGTCCGTACCACGTGTCGAGGGGTTGTCGAGGAAAAGCTCATCCACCTTTTTTTTTGGTACTCGCAAAGTTACATGTAGAATGGCGTAACTTGTAGCTTACGGTGTTCGTCAAACTCTTTCGTTCGGCACCTATACGTCGAGGGGGTTGTTAAGAGTATAACGTAATTCACAATTTTTTGGGGTTGTTAAACGTGATCCACCATTTTTTCATGGTCACGAGAGTGTATTTAAAATAAGGGTCAGGGGGTTGTTATGAACGAGATAATCCGTCATTTTGATTGGTCGTAGTATTGTATTTCAAACGAAGGGTTGTGAAGAGTAAATTAATCTGTCGTCCCGTGGTGACAAAAAGATTATCTTATTCTACTCGTCGAATATTTATTGGATTATCTGTCTTTTGGCGGCAAGAAAAGGAACGTCCTATTCGAACATCGAATTTCGTAAACTTATATTGTCATCGAAAGTAAATAAATCTGCGTGTAAAGTATCAGCACGATAGTCAGCTTAAGGGTTCGAAAAATTGATGGTCAGATTCATTCCTGACATATATAGATGACGGGAAATCTAGTAAAAATATGAAGGTTTTTTAAATAGTTTCCAGTCTGAAAATCTGGTGGATAAGTTTTTTTTTTTTATGTTATTTTATAATACGGAAAGAAATTTTTCAATAGTTTGGAAGAGCCGACATTATCCGTTTAGTTTAGCTTTAATTTTAAAGAATCATCGGATGAGAAATTTATGAGGATACAAGATCTCAAACAACAAGATTAGTCGAATGGAAAGATATCAAGAAATATTCACATAATAACTAGTTAATTTCTATCCCATTTTGTGGAGTTGGTTGGTGCATTTAGTACATTCAAAAACCTGTTCAACTGATTAATATTCACGTTTAAAATTTCATTTCGAAAATTTATCGTAAAAACTTCAATACTTTCCTCTTGCTCTCAATAGCTGAAAACGTGTTTCACAGTATACGACCATAATCAAATTTCCCTGAAAACTACAATAATTTTTGCCAAAAAAAAAAAAAAAAAAATTTTCTGCAGAATCGCTCGTGTATATGAGCGTACAACTCCGGAACTGGAGTCTATACAATATGTCCATACTGTGCGCTCAAGTCGATACTGGGTGGGAGAAACGATATACATACACCAACAGTTTTGAGCTTTGCAAGCTGGATAAACACGTTATCGGGTATACACAAGCGAGGATGTTTATACATCGTAAGTTTGGATTATCTCGCGCGGCTTGAAAGCACTTATGTAATACAATTTTTCACGTATACTTTACGAGTAACCTTATACCTCACCTTCAACTTGGTCAAGTACAATTTTGTAGCCTTGCGTCCTTAACTTCCGCAAAATTGCCTCGCTATAATTCCATGGACGAGTGTAAAATACGAAATACCCATATTTGCACACGACGAACGTATCGATCCTCTCGGCGGATTATTCGGGCTGTCAAAATATCCAGGTGTAAGAAAAAAAAAAAAAAAAAAAAAAAAAAAAAAAAAAAAAAAAAAAAAGAATCAACCAAAAGCTCCCAACTTACGTACAAGCAAAGCAAGGGCTGCTCCGAGCCACGAGACCTCATAACACCGGCTTACACGTACGTATACGTATATACATACCTCCACCCACCGATCGTCTGAGCTCAAGGGTAAATACCAAGAACCCCGGCGTACCCTTTCGCCAAACAAACAAAATAAAATACAACCCTCCCACACCCCCTGCTTGCATCACTCTCCGTGTGTGTGTGTATATGTATGCTTCCCTCCTCCCATCAAACGGCCAGTATATATGCCTACCCTTTACGGGCGAGCGGTTGCTTATTTTATACCACCGCCGCGCCACAACGGGAGCTTTTAGGGTGCATCTATGGACACGTACACGTATAGCTGGGCTGCTTCGTCCTTTGGGCCCCGCCACTTGAAGGGCTACACGCGCGTGTATAAGATACACATGCACGTTTAATCTGATCAAGGGTGCGTTTAGCGAGACGTGTCGGTGTACCTGTATGTCGTTCTCGATTGTTCCTTCTCCCCTATACCTGCTGTTGTTTTGAACGCGGTCTCGAAAAAGAAAAGCCCCTCGCGTGCTTTATTACGCTTATACCGGGGGAGCCCCGCTCATTGGAGCACGTGATACACGTATACGGGTATATACTACATGTGTAGATAGGGCAGCATCGGCGTCTCGAGTTTCCTCTCTCTGCATCGGCTGTACAATGGATGTACCATACGCACCACGGAAGCTCGATTACGCGCCCCCGAGCCCCTATTGTTTTTACCTACTCCGTGTATGCCGTGTGGCTCTCTTTTCTTTTTCTACATTGTCGTCATGGTATGAACAGCGAAACCACGAGGAGTGGAAGAAAAAAAATTTAAAAAAATAAAGAGAAGGAAAAAAAAGGGCAGTCTCGTGTATAGTACATGATGCGGGATGGCACGCGCGAATCTTAAAGCTACGCGAGCTTCGAAAATAGCTGTATGTGAAGACCGGATGGTAGACTTGGGAAAAAAAAAAAATTTGTTTTTCTACCTCTGGCGTTTCTCAACGTCTATTGCGTTCTCGATAGGAAAAGAAGTGTGTTTTGCATGGACAACTATAGGATAATAGAAAATCAGAAAATCACAAAGGATCCGCGGGTCTGGCGATCGCCTTGAATGAGATGGACACTGTACTGTTTTTCTCTCTTTGACGCCCATCTATGTCGAAATCTGTGAAAAAAAAAAAAAAAACGTGGGACAGAGGCAATTTTGGTATTACAGTAGTAGTCGTCACTAGTTCGCAAATTATAGGCTATACGATATCACGCAACAATCAATATGTAATATTTATACAAGTGTGTACGTTGTTTTCGCAAGAGCCGTCGATGTGTAGTTATTATATAATATAGTAATCACTTCTAAGTAGTCATCGTACGTCACGTAATGAGCTATGGAGTGTCGCAACTGTATAAACTGTGATAAAAGTAGAAAATTTATATTTTTGGAGATCGATTAATTAATAAAAGATAGAATGTAAACTTGCCGCTAATAGCACAGAGAACGTCAACTTTTTATTTTGTATTTATGAAATTAGTTGCGGCTGGTTTATAATCGATTACATGGCTCTACAGTTAAAATTATTTGGATCAGCGCCATCTAGCGTTAAGGATTTTTGAACTAAAAAGTGGCCCTAAACTTTTGACACACAGCATTAGCGCTTAGAGCCATTTGGCCTATTACAAACCAGCCGCAACTCATCTGGTAGCTATAAAACAAAAAAATAACGATACATGTGTTTTGGACGGCAGATTAACTGTTTATCTAGTACTCGAAAATTTATCTTCAAAAGTATAAATACATAGGAGGTCAATTTTTAGGTAGAAAATAAATTGTGAACTTGCGTGTGAAATAACGATACATGTGTTTTGGGCGGCAAGTTCACAATTTATTTTCTACCTAAAAATTGNATTTTTTTGTAAACTTAAAATGGCAGTTTCAAATCATTGAATTCATAATTATTCTTTAATTCATACATAACAATGTCACTTTAACTACAAACAATAAGAAATTGACCATTAAATTTTTAAAATATATACATACAAAGAATGTTAAAATAGAATTTAACGATATTCCTTTACTAATGTCGACTGATCAATCAGGAAAAAATCATCCTGAATAACAATTGAAGTTTATTTACAATAAAAATTAATTGAATTACCTAACATGTCGTCATACAACCTTTTAATTAATTAAGAGACTCTAATCACACATTCCTTTACAAATTAAGAAAGTTGATAACTATTCAAAAAACAATGCTTTGAGTGAATCGTAGGAAGCATTAATGACTCCCCAACTAATAAACGATCTTATGAAATTTAAGTGCACCCCCTTGTAAAAACTTGTAATGCTTCTATTCCTCAGCAAGTAAACTTCCCTAACACATTTTGTAAACTTTTCAAAATCACCTCCTATTTTCGACTGCATGTGAACCTTAATAACGTTAACGGGATAAAAAAATGTACTTGTAACACCACCAATAAGCGCACCACTAATAAAATTACTCATTGTGGAGTTTTCGGGCCCACGAATCTTGATTGACTGCTCTCGGAGGGTGAAAAACATAAGATTAGATAATCCATTTCTGTATATAATAGGTACTAAGCCTCTATAACATTCGGAAAGGCCATATTCTCGTAAAAGAACACTAAATGCGTGTGGTGTGTTTTTGAACTTGTGATGATGTCCTCTGTCTTGCAGTAGGGTTTGAACCCTCTCTAAGGGCATCAAAACTGCTTCACACGTACCCGCAAAATTGGCCGCAAATACTTTTGAAAAGATTTCATGCTTTGTCAATATGTACAGCCTCTGTTTGCAGCCCTCATACAAGCTAAACATTAAACTAACAGAAATAGTTTTTTGACATAAAGGAGGTAGTATTCCACGATACAATGTTTTGATTCCTTCATGTGAAAGCTGTTGGATAGCAGTCATAACAGGTACTCCTTCTAGCATCTGCAATACATCAACGTAATGTCAACATTAAATAAAGTATACATATCATTTAATCATGGTTTATAATATTGATTTTACCTGACGAAATATTATTTTATTCACTGGGTAAGTAACAGTAACATTAATCACAGCAGCTCCCCAGCCACAAAAAAACTCCTTTGCATCATTTGCATTTAATTTTATTAACGTTCTCACACTGACACCGTTGTGTTGATTCATTTTATTAAAATTTTCTTCAGCTTTTGTAGCTGCACCGACCGTTGGACTAATAAAACTTTCTTCGTATATCTTCCAATTCATTTTAAAATAAATTTTTGGCTATAAGTAACAATTGCATTTCATCTGAAACAACCAACAAGATATTTTTTACATTTACAACTTTTCAATTCACTTTAAATTATATCTTATGATTTTTAATTTTAATCATATAAATGTACAAATTATTATTTTTTTCAATTAAATTAATATCAACACACACTAGCTTGTCAATAAACTAAACGATACTTCAAGACTTCTGTCATAGTTTAAATTTTAGACCAAGGACAATTGGTCAACTACATAAATGTTAAAAAAATGAATTAGCAATTATAATCACGAGCACATTTACTTGACAGCTTGTGTATATGTACATCGTCAAAGAATATCTATATTGCTAATGAATTTAACTGACCATCAGAATAATACAAAATCGTCGTTCCTCTATTCGTAAGAGACGCTACAACACACCACCACGCCAAATTTAAAAAAAAACTGTGCAGCCTTCATTTTAAGTACCCAACGCCTTCTCGTTTTTGCACAGTCCAAACTTTTCCCACCCACATTTTTACACACGAGTGGACGTCGACTAAAAGTGAGGCAAGCCCACCAAGTGCAATACACGTATTTATCGATAACAAATCCACTAAACAGCAAAATTACATAAGTTTACATGAGCATCTCTTACCTTGAAAGCAGCTTTATAATCTGTCAGATTTTAGAGCCCACACGGGCTCCACGTATAGATAAGCGCACTAGGCCCATCATAACCTTACTCCGACGTTCGTCCTCACGAATTGCGTGCTCTTTCTGACTCTGTGTACATGTGTAATACTTAAATGTAATGCAATGGATTATTCGTTCAACTTGTCAACCCATAGGTATATTGAAAGCTCCTTCTCGCTCTTTCGAAAATGGAACATTTTTGTTGCAGCTGATGTACACTAGCACTGGCTTCAACATATGCAGTGTAGCCAGTGTAGCGTACTTAGTGAGCAGTGAAGCCTGGTGAAGCCAGTGAACAACATGTATACGATTTTGACACCAAGAGTGGCGCTGCATGACACGCACCTCACCTGGCCAATATGTAAGCTTCTTGCTTAAGCTATTATTATGTAAGTACATCATTATATTGGATATTACATTATTACTACTTTGGGTCAATGATGTAATATATAAAAACATAAAATGTTTGTCTTAATGTTAATATCTTTGGTAATGAAAATTTTATAGTTTTACAAAACAATCTCACCATATTTTATTCCAATTTAAGGCCGATAATGGCACTCCGAGCGCTGCAGTGCTCCAAAACACTTCTCCAATAAACATCCTGCTGCAAGAGTTTCGGATGACCAACGATTATGAGCAAAGCTCTGGCTCGCGTTATTGCTACATTTAATCGCTGAGGCGCTGCAACGAAACCAAGCGAGTGTCGTATGTCATTCTTGACCTTATCTTCAGAAGTTCTGACCGTTGACAGCAGAATTACTTTTCTCTCCTGTCCTTGAAACTCCTCAACACTTCCAACCTTTGGGAGATCAATGTCCAAGTTGGCCAACAGATTTCTTATGGTGAAAACCTACGTGTCATTTGAATCATTAGAGGAATATTAATTCACAAAATTTTAAATAAAAGCTTGAAAATACAAGTTTTTTATACTTGTTTGGCATATGGCGTAATGATACCGATATCATCCGATTTTAATCCAAACCTCAAGAGTTTTACAAGGTAAGTGTAAATTTGGGTAGCTTCTTCTGGGTTGTACCAACTTGGGCTGTCAGGATCTCGCATGTTGGTACCGTTCACGCAATGGAAAGTAACTGGCGATGGAGCTCCAAGCCTCTTTGGTAACATGTCAGCGAATTTCTCCAATAACTGAGCTTCTTTACTGTACTCGGGATCAACCTGTAAATTACATCACGTGTCATTTAACTGATGATTGAAAGCAGAGAATAAAGTACTATGAGCGTTGTTTTTAAGCTTTTATGCGTACCTGTGGTATCAATTCAGCATCGTAAAACAATTTATTTGGCAAATCAAGCAAATCCGGCAAGCTTCTGTAATTCATTAGCAATTTGGTTATCAACCGTGGATCATACCCGGTCTCAAAGCCTTCAAGATCCTTTTGATAAGGAAATTGTTGCAGTAACCTTACGAGAAAACTGTCATTGAGACCAAAGTAACCGGCCAATCGGCTTTGAGTGATTGGACCAAGCTGCTTGGGATCTCCAGCTAGAATTACTTGGGTTACGTCCTTGTGTGCTAAGGTCAAGGGGATCATAATTTCGGGCTCACTGGCTTGGCCAGCCTCGTCAACAAACAAATGAGTAAAGTGGCCAGGTTTGCAGCCCATATTGTATAATATTCCAAGAGCTGAACATGTTCCAATGATTATCCGATGACGGCAGAGAGTTTTCAACGTCACTTGAGTTTGACAACCACGAGGATCTGCTCGGTTGATGTCGGTGCGTGTTCCCTCTTCAGCGATGTCAGCAGTAACGCAGAAGGGAAGCAAAAGCTCGGGTATCATGTCGCTGTCCAAGTAGTGATAGGCCACTAGACGTACCTATGATATATTAATTCACTTTTTAAATCTACTTGTAAAATAATAATCTTATTTTAGCGCATATGAATATACACTTACCAAATCACCAGGCTGAAGTACTCTGGCGTCTAACAATCTTTCTGTAATAAGATTAGCCGAGCTATTTGACGGCGTAGCTATGAGAATTCGACTCTCTGTAATAGTGTAGTAAATCTGTAAAATGGCCTCTACTACTGTTATGGTTTTTCCAGTTCCTGGTGGACCAAAAATGACATAGGGCAACGGGCGCGCAAGGCCCCTCAGAATATTTTTCACCGCTTCTTTCTGGTAGGGGTTGAGCTTTTTGTTAAACCACTTGAGTTCTCTCTTGTAAAGGATTGACTCTATGAGCTTTATACGATCTTCCGAGTTAAACAAATTCGGTAGTTCTAGTTCTTTGGCTTCTCCGTCACTCACGTCCACGAAGTTGTACTGGGGTTCCTTCTGCTCTACTTTTTGTGGAAAAAGAAAATCGGGGCCAAGATTCTTAATCACGGTGCCAATGGCCGCATGACATCGTTGGAGAACTGTGGTCGAAGCTCTGAAGCCCACTGTGCATTCCTCGCCATCATAGATCTCGTGAAAAACGGCGTTAAACTTTAAATACACGTCCGAACATTTTATTTTATGGATAAAACCTTCGTAGCACTTGGACTCTAAGCAAAAAAATTTTTATTTGTTATAAAAAAAGTTACGTTTCTTATACTTCAATCAATTTTTCTATGTTAAATCATGAGAATTAAAAGTATGGAATTTATGGTTGCATCAATGATAAAACTGTAATAAATACCCGTTTCCCATTTGTAATGTATAATAACGCGATCTCCAATAATTAGCGAAGGACGTTTTTCAGCAAGACCAGGAACGTTGAGGGTCATATATTCTCCATTTCTATGCAACACAGCACTTTCCATACTAAATCGCTTCATATCAAGGACCATTGCAATTTCTTCCAAGTACAGCAAATAGTTGAACCGTTGCTTGTAGTTGTTAAAACTCAGTGGCCGATTAAGGCAAGGTATTTTTTCTTGTAAAGCCAATTCTGATTCCACCTGGGTTTTAGTATTCTGAATCATACTATCGATAGTTGACCACAGAACAGGAGGTATTTTCCAAGTAACAGGACGCACAGGAATAAATTTAGCAGGCTTGTATGGCTTTACACCTCTTATGTATCTGCCATCTTCATACACCTGTGGTATTACTGATTGCCGTCCACCCATTTGAGAATTAAACAAGTTGGCACTTGGGGGAACATTGAAAGTTTTCTTACTTTTGACATTTATTTCACAGATGCGTCCGATTTTGAAATTTCTAAATTTAAATATTATTAACTCTTTGGATACTCCAACTTTCATACCTTTGCATCTAATGACATATGTAACTTCTCTTTCTGGATTTAATATTACCTTTTCGTCACGTTCCGGTGTAATAAGAATCAACTGCGAGTCTGACCTTCGCGACAAAAAAGCACATTTCATTATCACTTGCTTGCAAACACCGTTATTCTTGACATTTACTTCGAACGACGTTGTTGTTCCAATATCTAAATTTATAACTATATCTTTGGTGATCTCAATGTCTTCTTTATCTTCCATTAGATCTTTCATTTGGTTGTAAGGAAGTTGGGGTTCCTTTTTAATTGCTGATGTATCATACTTGTTGGTCACCTGTTAATGCCATAAATGACTAAATTGAATGCATTGCTGTACAACAAAATAGTTTGAGAGAAATAATTTTTTTTCAAATTACTCACATCTTCAATTGGAACTACAGAGAGTGCCCTCCAACGCGTCTGCAGTCCTTCCTGATCGCTTTCGATACTTTCCACAATTACCTTATCCCCTATACAGGGCAGATAACCATTTCGACAAACAAATTTGTTAAAAACAATGCTTCTATCAACAACGCCGTACTGTAGCTCTTCGTTGAAATCTGTGATCCTCCCCATCTTGTTGTACCTTCTAAGAGGCTTGACCGTCTTTATCTCCACTATCTCGCCCTTGAAATTCATCACATCTCCGTCGATCTTGAATAAACAATCGAGCTGAAGCCAGTCGCCAACGACGGGTACAAACTCCGCAGCAACGTTGTCCAGATTAACGAGCGTACCGTCTTCCAGATACATCTTTCTGCCTTTTTTCTGGTTCACTCTGCCGACATGTACACGCATGCAGAGCTGCCTGCCCATCTGTGCACTAACCAGCTTTCTGGGCACCCTGGGCTCGGGCCTAGGAGCCGGCGCGCCTACGTCGGCTTCGTCCTCATCTCTCGGGGGATAACTGGTCAGCGGCTCACCATCGTCGTCCTTGTCATCCGTCAAGTCGCGCTCGGTCTCGCCATCCTGGACGCCGAGCTCTTTTTCCCAATCGGGTCCGCTTTTACTGATGATCTTGCGCACTTTCAGATCCTCGCCCTTGCTCGCCCGATACGCCATATATTTGACCCGGTCGCCCTTCCTAAGGTCAGCTGGTACGACATGCTGCATCTCGCACATCAGCCGGTTCTCAATGAGCACGTAGCTGTTGTGCACGAGGCTGACCGTGCCGTAGGCATAGATGCAGCCTTCGTCGTCCTCCTCGACGAGGTCCACCTGCGCCCCTGTCTCCTGTGGTACGCCATCCGGAGTAATCGAGTCGAGAGGCTTGCCATCTACAGCGGCCGGCGACGGCGATGATTTATCGGCCTCGACGGCATGACCTCCGGACTGGGTATCGTTGGGGAGGTCGTCGTGACCACTGTATACGTGGTAAGCTTTTTTGGCTGCGTGGCCTAGGAAAGAAAACATGGCACACGGTGCCGGCGCGCCCGGAAGCCCGGTATTTTTTCTTACTAAATGGTTATGAGTACACAATAACAAGCGGAGGTTAGCCTTCGCTCCACAAAATAAGAGTCAGTGTAAGTATTTTAGCTCTTTTGTGAACTCTTGTCCCACGCACAAAGTATCTCCAAGAACATACGTAAACACAGAACTACGAGTGTTTTAACTACGTTCACACTTTTTTATGGCGATCGCGAACTAGAAAATTATATTATGTGAGTAAGTATTAGGTACATCTGTAGATTCATTGCAAGTGTTGCGTGACTGCGATCCGCGACTACGACTGCAGGGGTGGTATTCCGTAACTTTTTTTCACTGTGTGAGCTTATGGTGTAACATACTTAGGCTGATGTACAGCAAACTAGTTACGGAATACCACTTAAAATGTGTTTAGTTTAAATATTTACTTACTTATTTTGTCAGAAACGAAGACTTGTTTCGACTCGATTGCTTCACATTTTTTTCCGATGCTTGTAAAGAAGAGTATTCGAGTATAAGTAGGTATATTTTACTCTCTGCTCGCGTTTCGCGCTTGGCTTGGCTTGAACTCAGGACTCTCAGTACTCAAGTACTTACATCTCCCATTGGAATTTTATAGATGCACTGATGAAATTAATCTGTTTAATCTTTATAGATAATTAATATCCCTATAGGACTATACTTGCATACAATAAAAGCGAGGTCTACAACATCAAGTCAATTAAAAATAGTAAACATTTACAACAGGAATAGTTTTCAGTACTTAATTGATGGTTGATTTTTTTTTTCAGGTACAAATTGGTTTTTGCCAAATGTGTATTTATTTGTTTGTACATAGGATATCCTAATATTTGAACGTTGTGAAGGCACTGATAAATGAATTGTTCAATTAATATTTTGAGTCTAAGTAAAATCATCCTACATGAAAACATTTCTTTTTGATGAAACGAAATGAACAGGTATTGCAAAACTTAAATATTTTGTAAATTCTTATCGCAAGTAAGTATATAGCCAAAATTTCGTTTTTTCCTACACATCAAATTTTCCTCTCCAGAATACAATACACCATTTAAAGTAAGTACACAGTAATAATATATCAATCAAACTTATGATTAAAATTTAATATAAATAAGTAAATAAATGGAGCCTATGGGTGAAACTTGAAGTTCCTCCAAGTTAAGATGTATTTATACTTTT